CTGGACACGGTATGAGACAAACTAGCAGCAGAGTTAGGATTCGAGTTAGGATTCGAGTTTTGGGATTCGAGTTTTGGGATTCGATTTAATAAGTAATAATTCAATAAGTAATAATAATTTAACAAGTATTTATTTTTTTTATTCATTAAAAGCACACAAAGTTTAATAATTTTGAAATCAAAATAACTATCATAAAAATCATAATTTAACTATCATAAAAAACTATCAAAATGTAAGACTGCCGGAACCAGCAATGCTTGTTAGTCGGACTAGCCGAAGGCTAGGTCGACTTAAGTTTTACCTTTAGCAAATCTATCTATCTATGTATTATGTCGCGTTTGGACCACCGGAAGTTAAGAATTTAATAGTTAACTATTGGGTTGGCTGTGTTATTACATGACCGGAAGCTCAAACGTATAGATGTACGAATATATCGTTACTAAATATCAGATTCTACTTGCGCTTTTATGTGATAAAAAAACTATTTGTTTACAAATGTGGTATCTGTGATCTCATCGGAATGCATCAGTCTAGCCATCAGAAGTACGCGCATGTGCGGATCGCATGGAGCTTCGAGTAGTATGCTTACGGAACAGAATTCTAGCGCTAGACAATCTTGAGTCTTGTTTGGGCAAAGATTTCAAATTAGAACAAAAAGAAACTTTGTTTATCAATAACAAAAAGGCGACTTTGATTATATAGGCATCTTTTTCAAAGAATTTATTTTCTTGGCCTGAGAGGTCAACAATTTGAATTAAAAACGTATTAGATATGATATCACCATGCTTTTATTATCCATGATATCACTTAGCGACATAGTCTGGATACCAGGTATTAATTACATGACCTTTTAGGTCAAAATTTAGATTTCTATCGTTTTGAAGTCGTTGCAGAGAGCAGTCAAAAAGAACATCGTATCGTGTGAATAAACGGTCACGCATTCTTGCTTTCACTATGTATTAGAAGTAAAAAATATAATATTCTACGCCATGATATACATTCAAAAATAGCTAGTCCGGCTTCACGCTCCAAGAGCGTCTAGTTTCTAATTAAAACATCAACAGATATCATCTGGTCTCTCATAGAAGAGCATAAATACGCGCCAGACGTGCATTTCTTTCGGAAAGAATAACACTTTCAATAATAACGTATATTATAAAAAAGTATAAAAAGAAAAAAATATATATTTAAAAGAAATGACATAGGCCCTTTGCAGCTGGGGGTCACGTGACCACACCTACCTTAAATCAATCAGCTATCAAAAAATAATGTCCAGAAATGGAAAGAGGGGATCAAAATAGTTAAGAAGACAAAGTATCAAGTCTCAACACTAAACACTAACATTTTTTTTCTAGATGCTTGCTCTCCAGTACTATTTTCCCATACGTTTCTTTAGAAAAATATTTTTACATTTGTTGCCATTTTTCTGTGTAGGTGATAGATTGTCTGTGTAGGATAATTTGTCTGAGTGAGTGATGAGATGTAATATGAGGGGGATGGGTGAGGGAGGGATGATTAGAAATAATTAGAAATAGTAAGAGATATTGTTAGAGGGACTAGAATATTTAAATAAGAGATAGAAATACAAAACAAATGATAGACCTAAGAAATAGACGAATAAACAGAAGAATAAAAGGATGGATGGATAAAATTGGCATTGCAAATCACAAGGATATGAATAAGTCATTACTAACCTCGTGTCTTCCGCCATTTKGGCAACAAGCAGAAAGAAGACAGCGTGGGTACTGGGAATGAGTGGCCTCATAATGAAACTTGATCCCGGAGACTGCATTCCACAAATCTTTAAACTCGAATCCTAAAACTCGAATCCTAAAACTCGAAATCTAACTCGAATCCTAACTCGAATCCTGACTCGGAAAATAGGTATCCTCACACGGTATGTTCCACGAAGTGGTTCTTGTTTTAAATATGAAACCCTGCAGGCAGGGTGAAACGTCCCAGGCAGTGATCTGTGTTTTGCAATATATGCTTAGAGTAGAGGCATGGGGGGTTAGTTAGTCCCTATAATGGTCTATAATACTACCAGAATGAAATTTGATATCAAGCTTGATTCAATAATAAATATTGCAAGGCTAAAAGCACAAAATAAAGAATCATTTACGAGGAATATCAAGCTATCTCACTGTACAGAGAAATAAAATACAAGATCTTGATCTTCATAAGTAAAAAACAGCCAACAGATACATTTGGTTGTTGAAAATTATGATCAATGATATAGTAGCCTGCGTAGCGGCCCTAAGGGGATTGGGGAGGGCCGGCCGAGCGGGGAGTAATCCCCTTAGGGCCGCTACGCATGATATAGAAATCTTTTACGTGAACAAAATGTACTTAGCATGTTACATTGCATGTCAGAGAACAGATTGCAATTGTGATGGTAAAAAGCTCAAAAACAATCATCAAAATATGCTGAATCTTTGATGTATTCAAACTGATGCCAATTATTAATAAAAGAAGTTCAAGATTATAAAAATAACAACCATACAACTGATGCGATCTTTGTGTTACTGTGCTATATGCTTACATAATATTAGCAAAATTTATTTTTACTTTGGATTGTCTTGGGTTTTTTGATAGTGAATTTTCTAGGAGTTAAGCTTATAACTTATTGTGGAATTTTAAAATAATCTTGGGCAAAGATGACATAATATTAACCAGACCTAAACATCAAACCAATGCACAAGTTTATGTACTTAATATAATGTGTTCAAATAGAGTACAAACACTAAAACTGTGCAACATAAATACCACTAAATACTGCTAAATTATGATAATTCTATTGTTTTCTATTGTTTAAATTAACACTATTTTGTAGTAAATAGTGGAAAGTGTTGCACACATTTAATGTTTGTACTCTATTATTTCTCTGTTCAGCAGAGTTCTATTTGAATTTATAACTAAAGTTGTAACTATTGTTGTCTTTTGCTCTTGGCATCTTCTTTCATGTAAATTGTCGATTTGTTCAAGGCAAGCGTTTGTATTTTCTAGATTTTCTCGCAGATTAACTGCTTAGTTGAGCCTCCAACATTGCATTTTAASATTTAAGCTTACATGTCAGACATTGTGTTCGTTTCTTCGAGCTTTTTCTTTGGAGACAAACGGCTTTTACAGGAGTCAATTTTATATTTGTCGGTGATTCCTTCGTAGCAAGTGTCTCCGTCTCAAAAGCGACGGCCAACGATGCTCGAACACTGCATTGTGTTCGTTTCTTCGAGCTTTTTCTTTGGAGACAAACGGCTTTTACAGGAGTCAACGATTCCTTCGTAGCAAGTCTCCCCGTCTCAAGCGACGGCCAACGATATTTTCCTCAATAATGTAATTACAGGTTAATTGAAGCCAGACATAGCGCTTTATAAAAGTCCAGGCCATCGCATTTTAATATTATGTTCGCTTGTTTTAAGCTTAGCCAGTCATTTGGCCAGTCATCGGCACGATWACTTGTCAAGAMAGCCGCCATATTTGTTTCAGTTGACTGTGGTAATCGGACCTGAGGTATAAACTTCATGCCGGAATKCCATACAGACCTCAATATACAAGTATAGGCATATGTGCCATGGCAACATTCAGACATGATGTACATACCGAACGTGACAGGAAAAAAAAAAAAAAACACAGAAAGTGTTTGCATTTTATGAACGTCCCAGGCCGCAAGGCCGCCTGGGACGTTAAAAATACCGTTCGCTAACCTTTTTTCTGGAAGTAAAAAAAATGCATCTCGTTTAGTAAAATTTCGAAGTCGTACTGTAATATTTTTAACTCGTCATGTAAATTTTTTTCACTATAGTTTTGTCCTAATCGGCTTGCCATACTTAGGGTTAGCAACATGACAAGAATTATCAGAACAAACAATGTATACGACAGAAGAGAATTTAAGGATCCTCAACTATTCACTTGTACTGACTGTACTAT